AAGAAAAGAGGATAAAAAAAGTGCCTGATTTGCTTTGAAGGAACGCAATGCTATTCTGATATTACGCCTTGCTTTTCCACCCCACCTGATCCCTAGTGCCGCCTAGGAAGAGCTGCTCAATCAGTTTTTGCTTGGCAGTCATCAAAGTGCGGGGGAGTTTGATATACTGCTAGTCACTGATAAGACAAGGCCATAGTAACCCAGATGAAAGAAAAGCAGCAAAACGGGTGCACTGCATTTTCTTGTGCACCTTTTCAAAAATATTGTTTTTATTTGTAACTTATTTTTTTGCAAAATGGGCACTGTAGGACAGCAATAAAATCAAAATGAGCCTGACATTGCTGGCAATGAATGAGCTCTGGCCAGCAAATTTGGAACACCCACTACTTCACGCATCTGGGCTTTTGGACACCTTGCCCTGTTGTGAAGTCCCACCCACCAAGTGCTTCTCCCAGCGAGTGCCAGAGCAGCGCCAAGAGTGCGTAGAAGTTGCTGCATACTCCCAGATGTCATTTTGGACTCCTGGGTTCAGCAGGTGAATCAGATCCAGAGCAGAACGTTTCCTGGAACTGTTTTGGCAGCCGCTGGAGATGCAAGATTATTTTTCATTGTTTCTGGTATTGATTTATCCACCAGCCCAACATATAATACATCAAATCATGGCGTGCATTAAAAGGAATGGCCTGACAGGAAGGCACGGCTATCTCTACCAACTGTAACATTCCATTGCCTTTGCTCACTCCCCACTCTTCACAAGGCAGTAAAACATGCCCTGAATAACACTAATTAGCTCCAAGCACATTCCTTTTGGGCATCTGAAAAGTGCAAGCATGTTTCTTTCCAAGTCCACACTATACACAAAGGTGTTTACTTTTAGTTTCATTTGGGGAGGTCCACGAGTGATTTCATGAACCGAGGAAGGCAACTAATGCTGTCAATAGCAGGATGCATTCACTGTGGAATGACGGGCTTTCGGTGCTTGCTTGTTTATTCTGCGTAAATTTGGAGAAGCAACTCAGAGTTGAACCAGAGCCAGAAAGTTGGAGGACATAGACAATATGTGTATTTATGAGAGTGGGAAAGTGAGAACTCTGATTGGCTAGCAACCAGTTCAGGGTGTAGCCCGCCTACTGCCCGACGACAGCTGGGAAAGGCTCCAGCACATCCGCGACCCTTGTGAAGATAAGCGGATCAGAAAATGGTTGGATGGATGCATGGATGGATGGAGAGTGAGAAATCATTTGTGTGTGTGTGTGTGTGTGTGTGTGTGTGTGTGTGCTTGGGGTTCAGAGAAAGTGTGTGGATGTGTGCAAGAAAGAGGCGGGGAGTGGAAAAACACACAAAAGAAAGTGTTGAAATGTTTTATGTCTGAGGATTAAACCTCAGGAGGTGAGGGCCGGAGCTGGTGCTTGGAGACGAGATGTGGCGAAACCCATCGGGGACTCTCTGTTAGCTAGCTGAACCGGTGCTGATACATCAATACTGTTGGCGCAGGAAGGAAACAAGGGACATTCGTGGGTGTCGCAGGATCTTGCATGCAGGATGAATCTGAGACAGGGCCAGACATAATGGAGGAGGTTGCGATGAGGGATTCCGAAAATATCAAGTTTCTCTGCACAGCTGCTCTGGTGTGCAGACAGTGGGAAACATCTATATTAACCTCTGCTCCACGTGCAGCCCACTGTGGAGGAATGCAAGGAGAAATAGGCACATAGGTGGGAAGAGAATGGATGAATACATGCTTCTGGTATGATTGGAGCGTGCAGCCCTAAGAGCTGGTGACACAACACCGAGGCCCAAAACCTCGACGAGATCTCACCAAATGTACGAGTTGAGAATTTTCCTGCATGGCTCTTCCGACAGTTTCATGCTGCAGGAATAACTGGCAGACATCCAAGCGCAAACTCCGAAGGGAGTGATGAGGTGGTATGGTGCAGGGCCAGGTGGTGCCCTGTCAGGTCACCAAGGTAACGCAGAAACTAATTACCTGGTGAGCCGAAGTTACACACTTCCTCTCTGTCACGGCGCAAGAAGCGAAAGAGCATGTAAGTTTTTTTTTTTTTTCATTGTAGTCATTTTTGGCTAAATATATCACATCTGGCACTGATTACAACAGCACAACACAGAAATACCCCTTGTTCCTGCTGTTGCGTGATGAAATGATCCATGATGATGACAAACTATTACTTTTTGAAAAGGCTTGTTCTGAAAAACAAATCACCCACTGAGAGTGCAGACACACTAGCTGCTTTCTTTGTCTTAGATCCCAAACACAGAAACATACGACTGCAAAGCCACACACATATAAAAACATAACGAGAACTTACGGCCACGATATATTGACCAGCATTCATTTCACAATGCAAAATGTACAGTTTGAGGCGAATTGTGCATATCTCCTGCAGGATAATAATACTCAGCATCATAATCAGAATAATGAAGGACACCGCTGACCCAAGCAAGTCATTACAAAAATGCATGCACAGTAACTAGTCTGGGATAGACAAAATGTTAATAACAAAAACAAACTTTTTGTTATTGTTGTGTGATGACATGATCCATCATGATGACAAACTGTTACTTTTGAAAAGGCCTGTTCTGAAAAACAAATCACCCACTGAGAGTGCAGACACACTCGCGGCTTTCTTTGTCTGAGATACCAAACACAGAAACATACCACGGCACTGTCACACACATTTCTAAACATTCTGTGTTACAGAAAAAGGGCTACATGACACAGTACCTGTAACTGTTGCTTCTGTGTCAGTCATCCAGGATGCAAAGAAAAACAATGCCAAAGTCAGACTACTTAACTGTAACCCTGCACGGAAATGTTCAGCATTCAAAATCCGAGCTGAGTCAGAATAAGCTTAACCAGACCACAAGTAAATGAACTACGGCGCACCGTCTCAGCAGCACTGGCCAAAAGCACTGCAAGTTGTAATTTGTTATCGAGGAAATGCTTATGACATACTTAATTCATTGCGGCTGAGCGTTAATGCTACCATAGACTGCCACATTAAACACAAAGCCATTACAGATGAACGGATAGGTACGAAAGGAAGAATGGGTTTTGATCGTGAGCTGGATCCATCTGTTGACCCTGGGTCAAGGTTCTAGGTCCAATTTTTTTTTTTTTTTTTAATTAGGACATCATTCTTGACAGTTTCTGTTATAATGAGATATGAATTGATGAAATGAGTCGACACTTTTATAAGATGTCAGTGTGTGGTGCAGCAAAGGTTTGGTTACTAAAGTGCCCTCTTTTTGCCCCAGGCACAACATGCGCGACGTGTTTGGGTGGCCCAGGCTGCGTGCATATTGCTGTGCATTCTAAACGTATGCTGTAAGCCATTTACACAGCTGGCCTTTCAAACGGAGGTGACTCAGCGAGAGGACGTCCCTGGATGGGGGGTCTGTCCCAAAGCCCGCACCGACCCAAGCTGGCCTCTCACGCGAGCTGACTCGAAAGAATTCCAGCTCCTCGGGGCGACAATGAAAAAATGATAAGGGGGAAACAACGAGAATTGTGTGGAATATGTTTTTGGCTTACCGTAATTACACAAATACACTTTCGCTGGTATCGGCGGTGTAATTAGACGAACACTAATAGTACTGTATAAAGCAATGCGTTAAAATAGGCTTTTCAGGAAATAGTAGGCTAATGCACCTTGGCAAAGAGGCGCTGGAGACTTCCAGAGAGCCCAGGGACTGTTTTTAACGAAAAACCACACTCATTCTACTCTCAGGCGACCTAAATAAAAATAAAAACCACAATGAGCAAATGTGGAAAGAAAGGAATTTGAAGAGGAAATGGACAATCCATCTGATTCTGCCTGACGCTCATATGAAGGCAAAGAAACAAAGTGTACCTGCTGCTTCTAATCAAGATGCCAGGAAACTGATGCTATCACAAGAGGCAACAGAACTCTGTTAGCAGATGCAGCACATACGGGAGCACAGAATTCATGCCTCAAAAAAAAAAAAACACACATCATCGTCAGGGGGTTTCAGAAGTTCAGAGAAACATTTGCTGCTTAACCTTTGAATATATGACTTGTAATCGAATGTGAACGATGGCCATTGTTGCTGATGCATCTCGCAATCGAGTGCCTCTCTCATCTGTCTCAAACGCTCCCTTCTTCCCTGTCCCCTTGATGCATTCAACCTTAGCCGCACGCTTAGCGAGGCCTTTTGACTTTGGGAGTCTCTGTGGTCAAATCCATCTGTGTTGCAGCCTGTCGAAAATAGTCACAATGCAGCAGCTCCCACTGTAATTATACAGTGCAGTGGAGGAGCCAGTGTCACCTCCCTCTCTCCTGCCAAGATGCTCCGACAATGATCTTACCAGGAGTGTAAAAGTGCAACTCTGTGAACTGTATGCCCTTCAACAAGTTTATATTGACACATTTTTTACTTTGCACACAAGTCTTAAATCAATAGAAACACATCCACTTTGCAAATGGCCTCTTTGAATGACCAATTGCAACTGACTTCATCGAGCATGGCTCATAGCTGAATGCCATTGTTCAGCAGCCAGGGTACTCACAGGGGCGCCTCTGAATCGCAGTTGGAAGGGAACACCCACTGCACTTTGATCCATTGTGCTGGTGGCACTCTCATTCTTTAGATAACGCAGCAACCTGCTCAAACTTCCAAGTGCCAGCACCTGGCCTCGAGCTCCTGCAGAGCTGTTGAACAGAGAAGCTTGCAAATCGCATTGTGTGGCAGTTTTCCTCCAGTGCACACCACACAATAACATGTTTGAAGGTAGCATGAGGAAAGTGATCTGTCAAGCTGGTGATTTATGACGAGCTGCATATGCAGACTTGCAGGTCATTACTTGTGTTTGTGGAATTTGAAATGACACAAGTTAGTGGCCTCTTGGCTTGCCATCACTAAAATGTGAATTATTCAGCATGAATGGAATTGATTTTCCCATGTAACACTTCCGAAGGGAACAAACCAAAAGGCTGTTATATGAGACGAAGACATCCTACCTATATTGACAAAGCTCATGACCATGTCTGCATCATTCAGGAAGTTGTTGTCTTGCAGGCCGGCGATGGGAGGTGCCTGCGTGGTGAAGATGGGCTTGTATGGATAGGAGTACCTGTCGTCGTCCACCTCCGTGGACATGGCGTTGTACAGGTCCAACATGAACATGGGGGCAGAGTTGTGCTTGCCGTGGAGGTGCGGTCGCGGCCGGTGCGGCAGCCCCAGGATGGAGAGGATCTCCCGCTGTATCTCCCGGCGCTCCTGGCTTCTCAGCCGGCGGTGAATGAAGCTGGAGTGGAATTCGTTGTCCACGGAAAAGTTTGTAAAACTCGTGTCGGCCACGACGCAGAAACTCCAAATTAAGAGCAAAACTGGTGCGCGTCTTTCCAAAAGGGATGCCATAGCAAACGACGCCGTGCGTAAAAGTCTCTCTGCCGCCAAAAGCTCCAAAACAGTATTTTGCACAATTAGCAACCGTGTTCAATGTCCTGAATCAGCTGCCCTCATGATGAGGGAAATTCTCCCGAATGGATCAGCAACTTCGACTTCGTCCTTTGAATGGCGTTTTTATCAGGCGGAGCGCGTGGTCCTCTGTCGCCTGTTTGCTTGCGACACTTGTGTGCTGCTGACTACAAGTGCACAGTGGAAGCTGGCGGCTTTCACCAGGGGAGAACAACTTCTGCAGACAGCTGTGATGGGAGGAGCAGGGGAAAGAGATAAAGAGGGTGGCAGCTTGAATGAAGACGGCGGGTTTGTGTTTGTACGCGCAGCACCGTTTCACACAATATTTTGTTCATGCATTGCACTTCGGTGCGAACGGTCATGACTGACGATGTCGATATTGCTTTTTTTCCCTTCACTCGTTACAATTGCGAATGGAAAAGAGTCTGTTTTGAATAATTCGGGGGATTTTGTTATGATTCCATATCTTAATTGGGTCTTTTGGGGGATATGCCGATTTTTATTGCGCCAAATAGCTTGCGTTTTGGACCCAAATGCATTTTTGACCATACTCCACACTTTCTGCTCTGCTGTGGCAGGACGTTTGTGACAAAGGCAGTGGTGAACAGCCACAGATTACAAAGGAGGGTTGCAGATGTTTGGCAGCTGCTTCCATGCTCCATCTGCCCCCAGTGCCCCAGCACCTCTTAAACACCAAACTTTTAAGCAGCGCCGCTGACCCTCTCGTGAGTTCTCTTCTCACTGACACACTTGAATGTATTTCAGATGGCTGCTGCAGGACTGAACTCTTCGAACATGAGAGAATGGAGTTTCAAAGGCTCCTCTTTAGACGCTTTAAGGCCGCAGCTCGCCAGAAGATTTTTATGACAATAAAATTAGAACTTCAATCGCAAAGCAAGCGAGGCTGCCAAACAGCTTTAGCCATGATTGTAAACAGAGGGGGCGAGCAGAGAGGGTCTTCGAGTCCTGTCCACTTGACTCACCTTCCCATGCACCACCTCAAATGCGTCTGTTTGTCGTCCCCAAGAAATGATTAGCTTCTCCTTTTAGGGTCAATATTGAAAATAGCTGAAAGTCTGCAACTTGTTCTTCATTTTGCTTGATATAGTTGCTTAGAAGTAGTGGACCAGTTTTCATTGGGTGAACTAGGGGTGTGGGAGCGACACACACGCTCCTGAAATATGCTTGAACTCCTCAAGGTGTCAGGCCAGGCAATTAACTTTTGGGTATTTTCAGATTTTTCCAGGAATATTTTTTCAACATTTACCCACATTCTCCGTAGGGATAGTATAATGAATGTTTTCCTGGATTTTCTGAAGAATATTATGAGTTTGTAAAAAAAAAAAGAAAAGAAAAAAAAGGGCAAGGGCGGGGGCAATCAAAGGGCTACTGAAAGTGTGGCCCGCGGGCTCATGGCAAGTCTTGCCTATACTGTATCCCCCCATAGTGTGTCTACTAACTAAAAAGTTTGAACATTAAATTATCCATACCCATTCCCAAACATTTTTTAAGTTGGAAGGGGAGCTTTTTCAAATTTTTTATTTTATTCAGTATAAAAATGGATGTTGATAGTTGATAACGTGTTTCCAAGTCTCCAAGTTTTTGTTTTGCAGATCCCCTGACACAGCCTTGGCCACCCATTGCCCCCACCACCACTACCCCCACCCCAGCCCGGATGAAAGTGGAGCACTGCCGCTACCAGTTTTATCCTGTACCTCGTAATGGCTCCAGATGTTTACAGAGTAGACAGTACCCAAAGGGTCTTGGTATAATTTTCATCCTTGGTACAGTCATTTTCATTTGTTCCTGTGTTCCTTCTCTTTTCATGTTGGCTTGTTGAGGTCAAACCTCTAACTACCCCCACCAGTCTTTGGCTTAGTTTTTGCCAAGCCAGGAGATGACAACCATGGATGGGACAAAAAGAACAGACCTCCCTTTGTTTGCGACTCACCAAGCCTGGTGACATTCACAGTAAACAGTGGGCACAAGGCTCAGGCGAGACTGAGTGAGCCTCACTGAGAGGTCCTTGACAGGGGGACAGAAAGCAGACAAGCAGAGGAAACTGCGTTTGAAGCTTCTATCAACAACCCTCAAAACACTGCGTGCAGCTGCGTTACAGACTGGAGTCTGCTCTGTCACAAATTATCTTTTGGGTTGTGGGCAGACACTACCTTGCAAGACAGGACACAAATTGACAACAGACACGTTTATTTTCAGCCAGTCATCATTTTACTCACAGAACTCATGTTATCTCACTATTTATCCGCATAGTGTTGTCGAGATACGAGAGGCTGCTGGCTGGATGTTGTACACATGTTCACTCGACAAGCAGCTTCATCTGTGAGCGTTTTACCAATCTGTATTCACTTAGTTGGCTTTTTATTTTCAACGATTTGTCATAAATCATATCAAATTGTCACTTGCATATTCTACTAGCAAACGCTACATTGTTATTTATGAATGTAATGTTTTTTTTAGGTATCAATAAGACACCACAATTTGGTTTTGTAGAAAAAGTAACCTGCACAGATAATGCACACACACACACACACACACACACACACACACACACACACACACACACACACACGCTTGCATAATACCGTATTTTCCACACTAAAAGGTGCACTGGATTATGAGGCGCACTTTCAATGAATGGCCTATTTTGTAATTTTTTTCATATACCTGTATTGGACGAACCGCATTATAAGACGCAATCTGCAATACATCCACTAGATGGAGCTACGCTCAAGGAAATGCCAACAGAACACTACACTACACCCTGATTTACGGTATATAGCGACGATCAGATGTCAGTAAAACTTATTTAATAAAGCAGTGACCCAGTTCACTTAACCAACAGCAAGTTCAGCCCAAAATACAGTCAACTCATTCATCCCCTTCATTCCTACTCATCCCTCCTCAGCCCTCCTCATCAACGCTCACAATCGTCTCAACCAACATCCCCTCTATTGTTTGTATTACTTGTATTCACTGTAAGATCTCGAGTAAGGGATATTGAAACAGCCCTCGAATCCTGTCTCTTCGTACCTGTGCTCTGACCGGCACACCATCTGGTTTACAGTTAACTCCTTTAAATGAATCAGTCCTAATGCTTCCCCAACAATAATGTCTCGATAACGCGTTATGTGCCCTTGAGCATCAATTACCATTTGACAACGACGTCTCATGCTGTTCACACGTCGACTTTTTGTCTGCTGAGGCATGGCTTCCCACTATTCTTGGAAGGACAGCCTTCAGGTCATTGAGGTTCTGGAGTGCAGAGTTACAATCCTCTACACTGCGACTCGGCTGATCGCACAGGTTTTCAATAGGATTCAGGTCTGGAGAAAGTGCAGGCCATTCCATTTGAGGTACTCCAGCCTCCAATCGCCTTTCCCTGATGACGTGACCTCGATGAGCTGGAGCATTGTTGTTCTTGATATAATTTTAAGTGGTGTAGCCAAAACATGCTTGAAAAGTGGTTCACAAAAAAAAAAAAAAAAAAAAACTGATGATGCGCTGTCCATTCATGTATTGCTCCCAGCAGATAACCTTGAAGCACGCAATCAGAGGCAAGATTAATATTTATTTCATATGGTGCCATAGAGAGCTGCGGGCGGCAGTCCTTTGAAGACCTGTGGACTGAGGGAGGTGGATGAGGTCCATTAGGTGGTGGGAAGAAGGGACGTTCTAAGCAAGTAGACCCAAAGTCGATGCAGTAAAACTTTATTCAGGCTAAACTGAACCCTAAATAAGGGCCTAATGGAGGGTTTTTGTCAACCAATCTCCCATTAGCTATCCCAGTTGTCTTTGTCTAACTGTTTGGTGTATCAATGCTCCGCAATGTTTCCACGAGTGTGTCACTCTTCCAGGGACCTTATGAACCTATGAAACACAGCAGTGAGACAAGCAAATTAAAAAAAAAAGGGGTGGGGGGCAAATATGGAACATTTCTAATATCCCATCTTGGTTTCATGTTTGATCCATCTTCTATTTCATGTCATTTAACATGTTTTTTCTAAACTAGATGCTTAAAATCCTATTGTCTAATCTATTCAATTATTATCATTTGCTTCTTATGGGTCAAAGATATAAACATCTCCCAAACTACACTAGAATGAAAACATCCAGCTAATAGTTTTGGGGTTTTTTTGTATTCCTAATTTCCGTTTTGGAATGAAATTGAGCCATTATCCCCTTCTTTCTGGGATTTCCACAATGGCTAAATTTGCATCACTGTAACAAATGAGTTCCATGATACCATGATTATCTTATTAGAAATGCTTCAACGGCAGTCATCCTGTGGCATATTTGTGCCATGTCATTTCGTTTGGCCATTCTTCTCTAGTCTAATATGGGAACTCCATGGTGATCTGACTCATAATTTATCCATTATGTCACCGGCATTCTGTGATATGGTTCTAGTTAAGCTTATCTGTAATACTCGACTTAGCTTTAGCCGTTGCAGGATGTTAGCACTCAGGCACCTGTGTCATCAGTTTGACACTGGGCTGCTCTCCACATCAAGCCACATGCTTATCAGTAAGCTTTACGGAGGTGTCAGGTCCTGATAAAAGTCCGACCATTATCCGACTACCTCTATGGGCAGAGGTCCCATTTAGATTCTTTTCTCGTCACTGAAAGGCCTTGCCCCGTTTGACTCTTTTATCACTCCTTAAATGTGTCCTGACTTGTCAACAGAAAGGACCCCAGGTGACCAGCCAGACCGTCCTTAGGGAATACCGGACTGAGGAGCCATTAGAGTAGAGGCGGCATCGTCAGACTGACCAAAAGATGATAAGAAACAGAGCCGGCCGAAAGTCCGAAGAGGAAAGGTAGGGGGCCAGATGGGGGAGTGGGAGGTAGATTTGCTGAACTATAGAGGTAGTGAATGGAGGGCAGCTCTGTTTTCTATTTGTGAGGATTAGGTTGACAGATTTGTATTTAGTTTCTCTGGGCCAAGCTGCAGTTAATCCCCCTCACCTGCAACGAGTCCAACCCCCCTCCTTCTTTTTCCTCTGACCCTGCAGCCCCCAACTTCCCCCTCTACTTCCCTTGTGCCCCGCTCACTCCTGCCCAGTACAAACACTCATCCCGAGACAAGCACATGACTCGTTGCACTCTGTCTCCTCAGGTTAGAGCCTAGCACTCGACACAAATCTCTCCTGGGCAAAGGGAACAGCAGGGGGCTCAGCTTTTCTGCCGCACAAGAAAAAAGAACCCCCACAACCTGAGGTGGTTCACATATAGATTTTTTTCCAGCTTGGGTGAGGAGGTTGTCCCTCATCACTTAGAGATAGCAATTACTCAGAAATTAAGAACCATTATAACGGAAGCAGCTTGTCAAAGCCACTCAGGGTAAATGAATACTTTAGGTAAAGCTGCACATTAGGAGAAATTCAGGGTCAGGTCAGGGGCACAGACCTCTTCTCTTTGGTTCTGAGTTCTCACACGCTTTGACTAGGCCTTCACACTGTGAAAGATGGACTGCTCTGTAAACGCACAATGCTTGCCTGCCATTAGTTAAATAGGCAGGTCCTCAGGGTGACCTGATATTATGGTTGATCAAAAAAGTGATGGAATGTAACAATGGTGCAAATCGGGGCAGAAAGGTTTGTTGTCAATCAAGTATTGTGCAATGCAAAGTAATGATCCATTGAATCACTTAATATTATATATTATAATGTTTTTTATTTTTGATATTATTGTTGTTATTGCGTTGATGAAATTAGGTATTTAATTAATCCTGCTGGTAAAATAAGATGTCAAAGCAGCAATGTTCACACACAAAAAACCCCACACAGATTTTTAATTCTTTATGAAGTTTAACTTATGATATTGATTGTAAAAGAGGACATTCAATTTAGAGTCTGACATACGAGTATACAGTATATCTACTTTTTGCATGCCACATCCGGAACAAAATCACGCACATGGCATATCATCTTGGCAGATTGCAGGGAGAAATATTTGATTGAAAGGGGTACTGAAACAATGCTGCACCTATTGAACTCGGAGGATGGGGATGGCGCCTTGCTTGAAAGCATTTTGCTGGTACAGTAAGCAGACTTGCAACTCTCCAACAACTTCATATTTTGTCCACAACAGGACTTGCTTCCAAGGCCGAAGTCCTTGCAAATGAGCGATTGCTGCAACATATTATTGCAAACAGTATATTTATGTCCTGTGCATCGTGTACAGACTATAAGCAAAACAAAAAGGAAAATAAATGCTTGACAAAGACAAGCAAGTATTCAAAAAATATATACGCAAAGCAGTGGAGAAAAATGTTTTTATGCTTGCATATCTACAGGCAGTAACAAATATATATTATGGAAAAATGTAGGGTATTATTTGTAAAATCAGTGCAATTTTGAAAATACAGTATGATATTGCCACTACTGTAATCAGTATCAATAATATAGACTGAATATCATACATACTGTAAATATCGCCGTGCCAGGCCGGAACATATGTCAGAATTTGGTAGGTTTTATCTTTTTTCACAAATCTTTGTATACTACTGGTCTGTCCAAACGTGTGGGTGTTATGTATGTATGTATGTATGTATGTATGTATGTATGTATGTATGTATGTATGTATGTATGCATGCATTTTTTCATTCGTTCATTCATTTTTACCAACTATTCTTTACAATTGTGCGGTAGTTGTGTTAGTGTAAGAAACACCAAAAAAAAAGCTGAAATACTTTTAACAAGACAACATTCTGTATTATTAAGCACCGGGCATACGTAGGAGGTAGCAGTGAGGGCGAGCTTCTCGTGTTTCGCTTCGCGTAGCTTTTGATAGAGGCGAGGGACGAGATTTTTCAAGCGGATTTCTTCCCTAAAATTGATCATCGTTGGCTGCCCTTGTTGAACAGCGCAAAGCCATGGCCGACCGCCAGCCTGGAGATGAAGAAAGTAGTTCGTAAGAGAAATGTTCTTCCTCATACTACCAGCCGATACAGTGTAATGCAAAGTGACACTGAGTTGGGCTAGCTAGTCCGCATTAGATTGTAAATTTGTCAAAAGCTCGTTTTTTTGCAACAAACCTAAACATCACATCGAGAGGGAGTAATATACAGTATATTGTATATACATGTACAGTATATTGTGTCACTTCTCTCTCTGAGCTTGATGTTAAATTGGTCTTAGCATTTTTAAAGGCATTTTACACACGTGCACCCCATGTGTGTTTTCCTGTATCATATTACTAGACAGAAAGATTCTTATGCAATTTGATAAAGACTAACCATATACATCTGTATGCTTCTTAAACTGATAGGTATTTAAAGTACAGGTATTCATATTATTTTAATAATTTACTGCGATGCTAATCATAACATTTGCTGCTGAATTTGCTTGACTGCGTCCACAATCAGTTCTATTTGGATGTCCAGGGAGGTTTTGAAACGCATTGAAAATGTAATCCTGGAAATAATAACTCATCTGGCGAAGGATGAGGCACCAACCCTTGTGCTGCCAAACAGATCCAGCTGGGACAATGTCAGGTGATTTCATTTCATCAGATTAACATATGTCATATTCATGTACCTGGCTGAACTTGAAAAGATAACAGAATGATTTTGTGCTGAAAAATCAACATTTACCTTCATGGGTTTTTGTAGGCATTTGGGCCACACAAGACCACCAGCTTGTTGAATTTCTTTCCAGAGGGAAGAAAAACTGCCTCTGTTAGAATTTGCACGACGGAGAGTTCAAAACGACCATATGGGGTAGCCAGGTGTTAGCAGCGAAAAAATGTGCTTTGGACCACAGAAAGTGAAGCTGAAATAACTTCCTGCTGCTCAAAAGATGACTGAGTAATTAAAAGAACACAGCACCTAATGTGACTAAGCTGTTCAGCAAAGCACACGTTTTGGGTGGGTGTGGGGGGCTTCCTACAGGTAGCCCTCAGGCTGTGGGGAATTCTTGATTGCTCACATGTGGCAGAGCAGTTTTTCAAAGCTGTACAATTATGTAAATTAGAATGTACCACACTCTTTGTTGTACGGTACTGAATGTGTTTTTAAATCCTCATGTCATTCATTTGTTCTTGAGAACCTTAATTGAATCCTTCTTTCAGCTTTGACAGTGCCATTGGGCTTCAGATGAGTTCAACAAGTGCTGTCCGGACGATCAGAAGTGACTGCCCAAAAACTGCCACCACATTTTGTAAGATTACTTGCACTCCTTGTGTCTTTAAACTCCGTTTCAATTAATTACTGTGTTTTTACTTGCATAAATGAGAAATAAAGTCAAGTAGGCAAGGGGAATATTTGTTTTCACTATGTGGATATCACGACATGGATTTTCACACCAGTCCTTTCCAAGATTTGTATTAATCTTCACTCCAAGCAATCCTAACGGAATGTTTTTTTTTTTCTCCTCTGTTTGAAGCCCAGATTCTCAAGATTCTCTCTGTGACTTACACACTTGTGCAGAGCAACTCATATGCCACAAAAAGGTCCTAATTTCAGCATGCAGTTCCTCTTTATCAACTTCAAATCCTCAAATCAGCTTTTTATTTATCTTTATTGTTCTCCACAGAGACATCTATTACAACCATCCACAGCTGTTTGGCTCTCAGAAAATTGTTGATAGAATAGTGGATGATGTGTCCTGCATGCTCAAGATTCCTCGAAGATCTCTTCGCGTGGTGAGTGTGTCCAATTCCACAGGCTTGAGTATGTTTTGTTATTGTACTGTATAACGGCAACAACAACATTTGATCACATTGCATCTATAGGGGTGTTCACACGGCACACATTTGCATCGGTGCTTCACCGATGTATTTGTTGCGATATATCTTACACCGGTGTAAATTTTGCGGAGCGTTCACATGTATAAAGCTGCTTACTAAAGAGAAGTGTGTTAACCCCGGTGCAGCCCCACTTGCGTTCACACAGCAGTTTCTGCGCCCGTGCAATACAATAAAAACATGCGCATGCGTAATGTGTACTTCCCTTTCCCCGCCTTGTTTGTGACATATCGAAAAACCATGGACCACAGCGGACAAATCAACGCTGTGGTCTCTCAGACACCGTAAAAGGATGAGAGAGAGAAAGGAAAGAAGTGCAAACTACCCAGGATGCAAGTTATGCAATACCCATATGTAATCAACTCTTCTCACGCGTAGCGAGTCTACCCCTGTAACGTTCACACGTCCCATTTTATATCGGTGCTGCCCCGCAAACTAGCATTTACTCAGGAGAAAATTTTTAAACCACCTTCTGAGCAGGGTTAAATAAATTTGCTCCGGTTTAAACTGTTTTCAGGGGCTACACCGGTACAACTTTGTATGTGTGAACGCTCTACGGGGGGCAGTCCCGGTGCTACACCGGAGTAAAAGTTGCCATGTGAACACCCCTTAAGATACAAAATGCTGTTTTTCCTTTAGCTTAGTAAGGGCTGGGCGATATGGGCCCAAATTTATATCCCGATATTTTTCAGCCGATTGGCGATGCACTATATGCTGGTGTATGTGTACAGCATACCTTTGATATTTTCTCACGCACTTTGATCATCTATATCAGGTGCATGTCAAAGTTAGCCGGAATTAACATAGTTGCAATTTTACATCTCATCCAACAGTTGGCCACGTCCAAAGGTTTAATCTCGGGTGATCTTTGTTATATGGAGGAGGACGGGACGAGGATCAACTGCCATTCAAACTCCGCTGTAAGTTCTACTTACTCCACGATTCAAGTGAACTACTTCTGATTTTTTTTTTCCCTCAATGTGTTCCAGTTCATATATTAGTCATGGAAGTAGAAGCATTACAAAAACAAACATAAAACAAAAACAAATTATAGAATTGGATGAGATTCAAATCAGGCCTCCTGTTAAATTAACGAATCAATTATCAAATTAATCAATAGCTATTTTTTAACAATGAACCAATTCTTGGATTTCTGTAACCCTCCATGAAAGCAGACTTTGTACTGAATCAAACGAAAAAATTTGCTTTTATTTTGCTTTACAATGATCAACATGTTTGCATATTTTCTGACATGTTAATGGGCCAAACAAGTGACAGAATCATTAATGATTTATGTTTGTGCATTTTCTACGCAAAAATACTGTCCTGTCTGTGTATAATAGACTATGCAATTGGGAAAACAACCAAACAGAAGGGAAATACAGAGTTTTGTGGTATTTTCAGGCGACAGTGTGTGTAAGAGGAAATGAAAGTTATCTCGACATGCAGTCAGAACAATTGGATTTTTATTGGGATTAAATCAGAATTGTGCAGTGCCCATCCACTCGCATTGTCCATTGATTTAATAGTCAGAAGACCTTCTCTTTTGGTCCAATTTTGATATTGTATATCATTGCGGAAACATTGCACATTTTGTGAGGGCCATCTTTTTATCTGAATTTATTCTTCAACTCTTTTTTGTAAATGCACTTGTCGCGTGTTTTCGAAGGCCATTTTCGAAAACTGACTGTAAAAGTGGGTCGTGACTGATCATGGGGAAAAAGAAACTCACTGCTTACTTCCGACTGGAAACAGGACACACAGTTGTCTGTCAATCTTAATCCTGACACAAATGAGACAGTTATGTAGTTCATGTCAGAGGGCTGAGTTCACAATATCGATGTCCGCAAACTAAACTCGCTGCTTTTACTCCTTATTGGTGCCTGCAAGACACAGTTCTTGTGGTTTTTCAGCGGATATTGTGTGTATTCAACTTGGATGTCGTGAGCAGGGTGCCCTTATGCAAACCATTACACAAACAAACCATTGTGGGTCTTGGGGCAGACAGAAGTATGCATATTTGCGTATGAGACATGAATGTTTCCTCTAAAGTTGTATCTTGTTTTAGGCTGTTGCGGTCTCATCCAACATTGCAGGCATCCGTAGTATCCTTTGATTTATTTGTTCAAGACTGTTCCTGTACTGGAGCGAGGGGGGATTGTGCTAATTGGCTGCAGGGACTGTGCTTTGCCTGAACCATGAACAGATATTGTATCGTCTGCCAAATTCATTCTAGTAGTTGAGAAGGATGCTACATTTCAGAGACTTCTTCAGGATGACTTCTGCACAAAGCTTTCTCCATTAATCATGATCACAGTATGTCAAACGTTCTTTTTATCTCCAATCTCACATGGATGACACTTTTAATCTGTTGACTCGAAGCACAGCTGTCTTTTTTTCTTTTTTTTTGAGCATACAAGTTTTTTTTTTTTTTAATTTGTTTAAGGGTAAAGGCTTTCCAGATGTGAACAGCAGGTTGATGGTGAGAAAACTCTGGGACGTGCTCCACGTCCCCGTCTTCACTCTGGTGGATGCCGACCCGCACGGTACATCTGCTTGAGTACAGCCCTGTTTTACGTCTCATCCAACGAAACGTATTTCCTCTCACTAAACAGTCGGCAACTCAAAGCACCTGTTAGCTATCCCACAGGTTGTCTCTTCAAGCTATCATTCCACCAGGTCTAATCTCATCCAGACATTCAACTTCTTTTGTGTTGCATTGCAGGACGCATATGTAATGTTTTACTTTGTTCTGAGCTCTGTTGGCCCGAAACCCAGCTGTTTTTTTTTTTTTTTTTTTTTTTTTTGAGCATACAAGTTTTTTTTTTTTTAATTTGTTTAAGGGTAAAGGCTTTCCAGATGTGAACAGCAGGTTGATGGTGAGAAAACTCTGGGACGTGCTCCACGTCCCCGTCTTCACTCTGGTGGATGCCGACCCGCACGGTACATCTGCTTGAGTACAGCCCTGTTTTACATCTCATCCAACGAAACGTATTTCCTCTCACTAAACAGTCGGCAACTCAAAGCACCTGTTAGCTATCCCACAGGTTGTCTCTTCAAGCTATCATTCCACCAGGTCTAATCTCATCCAGACATTCAACTTCTTTTGTGTTGCATTGCAGGACGCATATGTAATGTTTTACTTTGTTCTGAGCTCTGTTGCACATTTCGCAGGGTAATTGCTCTTGGATGTTGGTGATTGTGTCATGTTGTGTCTCTGATTTTCCCAGGCATTGAAATCATGTGTATCTACAAGTATGGATCATTGGTGAGTCCCATTTGGCCAAGTATTGCTCCATTCTGTCTTATCCAATGTGGCCAACTTTGTGTTTGGGCCTTTGGACAGCGAACTTGTACAATCCGCCGTCAAACAGCCCATTCATTGTGTATGTGCTGCCGTGTAGCTATTGGCGCGGCTGCGTGCTGTGGTGGCTGGCAGCGCGTGAGATGAAAAAGGTTTTAGTCAGACGGCAGCACGCTGTGACAACATCTCTACGCATTCAATAGCAAAGATGGCGGTGGAGTGATTTCAGAGTGATAACAGCAAGACACTTTGGCAGAGTTTCACGTTAAAAACAGCATGAAGAGGGAAAAAAACAACTATTTGGGATAAAGGTGCACCAAAGGTTTTTGGCAACCACCAAAAGAAAATAGGATATGGAAAAAGAAGTCATGGCAACTCATGTGACATTTGTTGTTAATTTGTTGTCGCCTCTCTCTCCTGACAACAAAAGAAGGGAACGCCTCCCCAGCTAGCTCGCTTGTTTAGCATGTGGCATCTGCCACAACAAGTTACAGCACGAATCGATGCAATAACTCACCAGGATTCTCCCTTTGGCCATAATGTGAGACAGGATTTTGGCTAAGGTAAGCCTATTTAAGATAAAAACAAGTACTTTTCCATAATTAGAAGCATAAGTTTTGAATCCACCCAGAAATCGTTCGCTGCCATCAACACATTTAGAGGATTAGGGAATGCCGACTTTGGGTGTCAGTCGCACTTGAGTATGAGTCACGGGACCAGCCAAAGTATGAAAAAAAAAAGTGCAATTTATAGTCCAAAAAATGCTGTAATTAATAGAAGGCCAACACAAACCTGTGAACCCATGTACTGATGTCAACTTTTTTTTTTTTTGATAGGCCATGTCATTTGAGGCCCAAAGCCTGACCATCCCCAATGTCATGTGGTTAGGCCTCCTCCCCTCTGACCTTGAGAGGTTTGGACTCAAGTCAACTCCTCCTGCAACTTCCTCCTGACTATTTGTTTGATTTATGTCACTGTTGCTATCTCTAGTTTATCGCTTGGAGGTCCTGAGAACAATAGATTAAATTAAATCTTAAGCAAGTTGTTCTGAGCTGGAATTGAACCCAGTATCTCTGCGCTGTGAAGACAACGTGCTAACCACTCGCCTACCTAGCCCACATCGCATTATACAAGTGGCTAAATGCTCATTTGCAGTGCAGTTTCCCCCCCCTGGTGGGTCTATTGGTAAATTCTAGTGGAGCGACTCACCATTTGACAAAATACGTCAGCGGTTTGTCAATTTTGAAGAGTTTTTAAGTAGCCTGCTGTGACATGAAAAAACAAGCTCAGTGGTAAAACACTAATTTGATTCTTGAGGTTACAGGTTCCTCGGAATGCTCTGATCCCCCTCACCAAGGCTGATGAAAACAAACTCAACAGCCTCCTCAAAAGGCCCTATGTGACGGCCCAACCAGAGTGGCTGAAAGAGGTCAGAGAGAAAAGAGATAAACCATTGATTAATTTGGGAACGGTGTACGCTATCAGGGGTGGCCAACATGCCCTTGAAAAATTCCACTTGTCGATCTTACACTGTCACTTGTATTTCCCAAACTAATGTCCTTTTCTTGTGTGGGTCTTCTAGGACTGCGCAGGGTGCTTTTTTTCCACCTTTGTGCTCATCCAGTTTGCGACCCTCTGCTGTATATTTAACTAAGGATAACTTGTACAATCATTTTTTGTCGTTAATTATAATAATATAGGTACGATATTAATGTATTGAGTTCTTTCTTTGACATTGTACTCATGTGATTCGTGGGTGTGTAGTTTGACCTCAGCCTGTTTTGCTGTCATCGCAGATGATGTTGATGCAGAAGAATAGAGTCAAAGCAGAAATACAATCGCTGGCAGCCATCGGTCCGGATTTCCTCACCAGCATCTATCTGCCCAACAAACTGCGCTTTGGGGGCTGGTTATAAGTGCAATGCTGCCACCTCGTGGGAGAAGGACTTAATCACAGCATTGGTTGGAAATAGCGTTGTATGGAATGGATCCGTTTTAACCTTTACTGTCAAAATGTCTTGTTTATTTCACATGCATTTACATTAATTCTTCCTATTTTTATACGATCTATGTCACATTGGGGACGTCACATTGGGTGTGGTCATATTTGGGCAACTTCCTCTAAGTTTGCAGGAGAAGGAAAAGAGAATATGGGAGAGGGAATGACTGTCAAGATTAAAACACATTTGCGTCAACAGAAGAAATGTGGGATCATAAAACATGGAATTTGGTATCTTATTACCAAGTACTAGTCTTTAAACATATTTTCAGATTTTCCAGATCTGTTTTTTTTTTTTAATATTTATGTTGAAACGATGTCATAATTGTTGAAATTAAATAAAAATGGGTTGATCTCAAACACTTGGATACAAAGGCAGATAATGACTGTCCCGTTCATGTAGTCTCTTGCGTGTTGAATTCCGCGTGTGTAGATGTCTGCAGACAATTTTCCTCCGGGGATTGTAGTGAGTAGCAGGGTGTCAAACATACGGCCTGCGGGCTGGAACCGGCCCCCAAGGAGGTTCGATCAGGCCCGCAGAATCATTTAAAAGTGAAAAAATGCATAAAAGACACGGGATGAATATTTTAATAAGGTGCAATTCACGGAGCATCCGCTAGGGGACACACTGTTTTGATCAGAGTAGAAAACATTGTTTTGATCAGAGAAGAAGACAACAGCAATCTCAGTCTGTCACTGAGACAGACCCAACACAGCAGACACTGTCAAGGACATGTGAATACTTATTCTTTACACATTTAATAGCACTCTCCTTAGTTTGGAAGGTGTAGGCAGGGATTAAATTTAGATTTTATACGCACATGTGTAAATGGTTTAAAAATTCCTTTCTTTATAAATCTCGTTTAATCTTAAAATGCATGAGTATATTTTTCAATACCAATTGTTCAAGTTTTGTGCCTTTTACAATCAGTGGGATCAGTTGCAATGCATATATGTGAATGATAAAAGTAAATTGCACATTTGTCGAAGGAAATCTAAGGTTCTTCATGAAATATTTTGTAAAAGATATGTTCATTAAATTTCAACATTTTCCGAATGTCTTTGCTTCTTTAGACCAAAACAAAGGAAAGACATATTGTTTTGGTTATTTATAGCAGAGTATGGTATAATTTTGATGGTCCGGCCCACTTAACATCTACCGAGGCCTTATGTGGCCCACAATGTGAAATGAGTTTGACACCCCTGGAGTAGTGTATTGTGATTAAAAAAATATATATATATATACACTCTTTAGTACCACTATAGAGCTGTAGCAAGTCTGTGAGAAGCCTTCCTCTTTCCGCTTGTGATGGCCAGCTGACTGCTGCTGAGTAAATGTTGGCGGTTAGACCATCCTCTGTTTGCACCACTCTTGGATGAGAGTGCATGGACTTGGCCATGTTTTGCCAGGCATTTTTTGTCTGTCAAATGAAAGTGTTCTAGGATGTACTCAGAAAACAAATGGAAGGGTGACACAATAGGGATAATTTACAGGATGCCGAGAGATAAATACGTATTGTGAATGTCATCATTTCACAGTTAGGAGTTCAAGGCTCAGTAAGGCAGTGTCCCTTCATGAGATACTGAACTAATATTCGCTGCTAACCCTCTGCTTGGTGTCCACAGAGTGTCTGGTAAAAACTTGGAAAGACATGGGCTTGGAATTGCGTCCGCACTCATCAGCCGAGTGTGACTTTTGTCAACAGCCTCTCCACTTTGGTCAGATAAGTGAGCGGAAGAGATTCTACTTGAATGGTAGCAGTCACACAATCTTAGGCTAGAGCAGTGCTTCTCCAATCATGGAGCGCCCCCCCCCCCCCCCCCAGGGGGGCGCGAGGCTCCGTCAAAGGGGGCGCGTTTGACCTCGGGGAGCATACTTTTTTATTTTTATTTTTTTTACTGTCCAAAAATAAAGTGCAATTGCAAATCCACTACATTAGGGGGAAGTGACGCTCTCATTGGCAGAGTGTGCGCTGGGCGCATTCGCTTAGTGTTTTGTTTGCACTGAGCATGCGCGCTTTGCACACAGCACAGAGTATGAGTATGAAGTGCAGACACGAAGTCGACAGGCGGAGGGAACAGAGAAAAGAGAGGTCAACAATCATACCCCTTTGTGACTGCTACTTGTAGCCATTAATCCAGACATCATCTTAAAAAAAAATCATTAAAAAAATCAGCACAAATTATTTTATAAATTTTTGTTTTGCAGCTTTTCATATTGTGCTCCTGAATTAATGTTGGTGATCAGTTTGAATGCATTATTATTTACTGATTTCATGTAATTTTATTTTTGAGTATTGTATGGTTTGACATGGTCAGTCAAAAAATGTTTATAGTTTAATTCAGGATTTAATTTTATTTTTGAATTTCAGATGCACTTCAAATCTTTTCTGTTAGTTACTAAAGCTATTCTTTGTTGTAAGTTGGTCCATATTTTTTTCTTTTTTATTCTCTTATACGTTAATAAGGATACAGTGTTATGCAAATGTGTACTTATAACAATTTTATAGACAAATGATACTATTTATAGTCGCGCGGGGGAGGGGGGCGCAAGATGTTTTCTCCTTCCTGGGGGGGGGGGCATGACAGAAAATAATTGAGAAGCACTTGGCTAGAGAGTGAAGTCTCCAACCATTTCCACTTTGCCTGGACAGTATATCCAAGCTATTCATTGTTTTTAATATCCAATTTCTGAATCAGTAATAAATGTGAATTCTAGGCGGTGGACAAACAAAGACGTTTTTAGAGATGATCGGTTTCCTGATGATCAGGGCTCATGTACACCTACGTCGCACGGCTATTGTGTCCTGTACTGGACCTCCTAGATCACAAATGTCAAAGTGCCGGCCCGCGGGCCAAATCCGGCCCGCGAGAATGTTTTCAGTGGCCCCTGGGATGATATTGATTTATTATTAGAACCGACCCGCGGACTGCAGCAAGCCGAGAGCCCGCAGATCTTTTACACGCACCAAAACTACATTTCCCACAATGCAACGGTGACGCGCCAAGCAGTCGGCTTCCTTGATTTCACCACACGGGGGCGAAGTTGGTCTCCGTGTTGGCCGTGACACGAGCGCCTCTCTCCGCTGATGACTAATACTGTACTCGGATATGCGGTGCAGTTTGAGGCTTTCATGACGAACCACCACTGAATGGTGTCAACGACGAACCGGATATTGCATTTCCTCCTGAGATAACGCAAATATGCCCGCATTGTGTTTTGCTGCATGCGCAACACTGATGCACATATAGATCTTTAATAGTACTGTGTGTAGGCCTACTTGAAATGTTAACCTGAAATCATGAAGGGGCCAATAATTCTGATGCAATTATTTTTTGTTATGCATCTTGGAGCGTGGTAGGATGAGGCTGTACAGAAACAAAACTCTTCGGATGCGGCCCACTTCAAGGGAGGCAAAACTCCCCTCCCTTCTGTGCAATCCCTTCATCCAGTCTGGTGCTGCGGTCAGGCCAGCCTCCACTCCAAAAGTACAAATGAAAATCAAATACCTCAAAATTGTTAAAATTGTTCATTACGGTATTGCCATGTTGGCCTACTTCAAAATAAAAGCATTACAAATAATAAGTAGGAATTACTCCTTTGGATTTAAAATAATTACATCTCTGTTTTAACAGAAGTGGTCCCAGGAAATTTCTCAAGTTTATTTGAAATCTGCATATATGCATCTGTATACCCCTGATTAGAAAAAGAAAAAGATTAAAACTGATCACTTTGTTTTCCCCAAACCATTCCAATTCTGTGGGGAACTAGACTATCTTAAGACTCCATCTTTGATACACATCTGGTGTTGCATTTCAAAATCAAAAGTCCTATTAAATATGCATATCTGACTGTCATTACCCCTACCCCAAAGAAAAGAATAAAATAAAAATGATTCAAAATAATCCTTTTATCCTAAAGTCAGACAAATTCTGGGAGACACTGGACTGTCCCAGCACTCCAACAAAAATACTTTCATGTAGATGTGGTGTTTCATTTCAAAATAAAAGTCCTCTGAAATCTGCAAATTTGACTGATTATCCATAATCCCTTAGTTATCCCACAAACGCTAGCCCATCCCATGACTCCACCAACAATGACATTTTTGTTTTAAAACACAACATCAGATCAATATGAAACCTTACAATAACTTGACCACAAACCCTGGACATGGGGCAGCAAACATTTAAAATTTAAAGCGATGCCAAATGAACATTAAACAATAATAGCAACACTCTCTCCTCTGGCTGATTGGTATAATGCTTGATCTCAAGGGCCAATTTATGTGACCGCACAGAACTTTGCGAACATCTCAAAATGACCAAAATTATACAGAGCACAGGGAAGGAAAAGAAAGAGGAAGAACAAAAAAGAAGCAAAATGGGTGAATGGGAGGTTACGTTTTTGCTCCTTTTGGTTTATCCAATTAGTGGTCACAATACAATTTGTTTGACATTAACGAAACTAAGAAAATGTTCCATTTTAATTGTGTGACATGTTATCGTATAAATTAACAAAAGGCAATGTTAAAAAGTCAACTTTTTTTGTAAGTGTATGTAAATCGTCAATAGAGACGGGCACCATCAAATCTCGCCTAGGGCGCCACATTGACTTGGTCCGGCCCTGCTTGACTTGGAGCAGCCACCACTGCTACAGTAATCATAGTTACAGTGCAGTGCCATTGGCGCTTCACAAAGTGCCATCAGTGAATTGAAGGAGGCATGTCCTCTCATGATTTCTTGCAGCTACACTTGTCACTGTGTTTAACGTGTTACTCTGTGTAATACACATTCCTTGCAATGATGTTGTTTCTCGTCTTGTATCAAAATGTTGCTACTTTGGGTATTAAATTATTGTGACTTTTGATGAAACCCTTAACAAAAAAAGGTGGTGAAGTTAGTGTTGTATGTATTTTAATGCCCTGCTCTTATTTTTTTACTTCGATGTGGAAATGTAGTTGTAATGAGAAGGCGAGAACACGATTAAATCGACAAAGGCACTTTTGTCTTTTTTTTTGGTCTTTTTTTTTTTTTTTTTTTTTTTGCTCTTATTTTTTTACTTCGATGTGGAAATGTAGTTGTAATGAGAAGGCGAGAACACGATTAAATCGAAAAAGGCACTTTTGTCTTTTTTTTGTCTTTTTTTTTTTTTTTTTTTTTTGCTAATTGCAAAACTAGCCCAAGGGTCATAGGAGTTCGCATGGAAGTTTTAGTGGAAGGTCTTAGGCTGGTCAAGTCAATCACTGGACCCTAAACCAAAAAAGCATTCATTTCACCCGCTGAAGAGGAGGGAGACTGAAGGGAGAAGCCTCTGGAAACAAAAACTTAAAGAGGCTGCAGTAAAGGCCAAGGAAACAATTTCAAATGATGAATACAACAGTCT